TCCTGACCTGAGGTGATCCACCCGCCTTGGCCTCCCAAAGTGCTGGCATTACAGGCATGAGCCACCACACCCAGCCTGCCTAAATCTATTTCTTTTTGTTGTTTTTTTTTTGAGATGGAGTCTCACTCTGTTGCTAGGCCTCACTCTCTCTCGGCTCACTGCAACCTCTGCTTCCCGGGTTCAAGTGATTCTCACGCCTTAGCCTCCCGAGTAGCTGGGATTACAACTGTGGGCCACCATGCCTAGCTAATTTTTGTATTTTTAGCAGAGACGGGGTTTCACCACGTTGGCCAAGCTGGTCTCGAACTCCTGTGCTCAAGCAATCTGCCGGCCTCAGCCTCTCAAAGTGCTGAGATTACAGGCGTGAGCCACTGTGCCTGCTCAATTTTTAAAGAAATCAAACATTTAAATGAAGCCAGAGTCCCTGTTCATTACTACCCTTATCCTGTCCTGCCTGTTCCCTATCCTGTCTTGCCCACTCAGGCAGTAACCATCCTCACACCAAGGAGAATTTTCCTTCCAGCACATTCTTATATATTTTTTATGGAGATCTGTCTATCTACACGCAATATAAAATTTTGTTTTATACAGTTTTCATGGTTTCATATGGTGTAGAGTACTGGACATTTTTCCTCCTTGACATATTCTTTTTGAGATACATTATTTGTACAGGTCCAGCCAATGATTTGTAACTGCTACGTGCAGAGGATTATTCCCTACTATAACTGTAACATAGGTGTTCATCTATTTCCCAATGGAGCTCAAGCTGGCTTATTTCCTAAGCTTTTACTGACATAAAAGAAGTTGCAATGAACATTTCTGCACGGTGCCTATGTAGACTTGCAGGGTTGCCCAGGACGGACTGCAGTGACAAGATCAAAGCTCACTGAAGCCTCAAACTGCTTGGCTCAAGCAATCCTCCTGCCTCAGCCTCCCAAGTAGCTGGGACTACTGGCGCTCACCACCACGTCCAGCTAATTTTTTAAAGTTTTTGTAGCGATGGGGTTTTGCTATGTTGCCCAGGCTGGTCTCGAACTCCTGGGGTTAAGCAATCTTCCCACCTTGGCCTCCAAAAGTGCTGGGATTACAGCTGTGAGCCACCACACCTAGCCTTGGGAAATCCATCCTTAATTGCCTTTCTGTCAGTTCTCTCTTTAATTCAGTGCTTCATGCCTGTCATCCCAGCACTTTGGGAGGCCAAGGAGGGAAGACTGCTTGAGCCTAGGCGTTCAATACCCAGCCTGGGCAACATGGCGAAACCCCATCTCTATAAAAAATACAAAAATTAGGCTGGCCACAGTGGCTCACGCCTTAATCCCAGCACTTTGGGAGGCCAAGGCAGGTGGATCACCTGAGGTCAGGAGTTCAAGACCAGCCAGCCTGGCCAACACGGTGAAACCCCATCTCTACTAAGAACACAAAAAAATTACCCAGGCATGGTGGTGGGCACCTGTAATCCCAGCTACTCAGGAGGCTGAAGCAGGAGAATCACTTGAACCCAGGAGGTGGAGGTTGCAGTGAGCCAAGATCACACCACTGCACTCCAGCGCGGGCAACAGAGCAAGAGTCCATCTCAAATAAATAAAATAAAATAAAATAAAATAAAATGAAAAATACAAAAATTATCAGGTGTGGTAGGGTATGCCTGTAGTCTCAGCTACTTGGGAGGCTGAAGTAGGAGGGTAACTTGTTGACTGAGCCTGAGAGGTTGAGGCTGCAGTGAGCATCACTATACTCCAGCCTGGGCAACAGTGAGAGACCCTGTCTCAAAACAAAAACAAAAATAGAGAGAGTAAGAATAAAGATGCAAGTTTTAATTCACCCCAAACTCCCATTCTACTTTACCACAACCTAGCTCACCCCTTCAGGAAACAAATTGCAAATATAACAGCATCCATATCAAATGGAGTTTGATCACCAAGATACTGCAAGTTCACAGCGTCACTATTATCCCAGTTCCTGCTTAAGGCTGCAATCAATATGGAGGCACCAGCGGCCATGAAGCCTCACCCCATTTGGTCCTCCCAGCAACTCGGTGACGCAGATGGAATTTTATCCTCTTTTGTTTTTGAGACGGAGTCTCGCTCTGTCACTCAGGCTGGAGTGCAGTAGTATGATCTCGGCTCACTGCAACCTCTGCCTCCCAAGTTCAAGTGATGCTCCTGCCTCAGCCTCCCAAGTAGCTGGGATTACAGGTGCGCCACCATGCCTGGCTAATATTTGTTTTTTTTTTTTTTTTTGAGACGGAGTCTCGCTGTTAATTTTTGTATTTTTAATAGAGACAGGGTTTCACTACATTGGCCAGGCTAGTCTCGAACTCCCGACCTCGTGATCCACCCGCCTCAGCCTCCCAAAGTTCTGGGATTACAGGTGTGAGCCACTGCACCCAGCCATTTTACCCCATTTTACAGATGAGGCAGCTGAGGTGCAGAGTCCACTGTTGTACACAACATCCCTCTCTCCTGCTGAGTCGGCATCAAGGCCACACAGCAAACAGCCCAGGGGGCTCTAAGAGGGCCAGTTCCAGCATGGTGCCGCCAAAGTGGAATGCTCTGTAGTCCTTGGAAAGGGTTAAATAAGATCTGAACGTATTCAGAATGATAACCCAGGCACATTGTTCAGTGAGACGGGGAGCTTCAGAATGTAAGTGGTTGCATCTCATTTATGTTTTAAAAAAAAAAAAAATTCTGGTGTGCTTGCATTCTCTCTCTCTCTCGCTGCAGGCACTTGTAAATGAAAAAATGTCTACAAGAGACACACCCACCTGTTCACAGTGCTCTTGGAGGGAGTACAATGGGGTATCCAGAGAGGTTTATTTACTTATTATTTTTTTAAGAGATGGGTTCTTGCTCCATTGCCCAGGCTGGAGTGCACTGGCACAATCATAGCTCACTGCAGCCTTACATCTAACCTCAAGCGATCTTCCCACTTTGGCATCCCAAAGCGCTGGGATCACAGGCATGAACCACCTTGGCCGACTGTGTCCAGAGAGTTGTCAGTCCTCTGCAATTTTATACAGTGGGCATGTGTTACTTTAATGATCTCAAAAAGTCTGATAAAGAAAAGCAACCATGGGAATTGGCTCCACTCCTCCAGCCTACACCCACAGAGTAAATCTGGAGAACAGGAAGTGTTACCCACAGGCCTGGGTGCACCTCTGGACCCAGCTGCCTCACCTGCATGTGATGAAGGATAAAGATGTTAATCAGATCCTGTGGCCACAAGGGTTCCTAGTGTGATGGCTGTTCCTTGAGGACGTTTATGAGACAGGGTCTTGCTCTGTTGCTCAGACTAAGTGTAGTGGCCCAATCATAGCTCACTGCAGCCTCGAACTCCTAGGCTCAAGGGATCCTCCCACCTCAGCCTGCCATATAGCTGGGACTATAGGCATGTGCCACCATACCTGACTAATTTACTTTTTTAGTAGAGACTAGAGACAGGGTCTTGCTGTTGCCCAGGCTCGTCTCGAAGTCCTAGGCTCAAGGGATCACCCCAAAATGCTGGGATTTACAGGCATGAGCTACTGCTCCTGGCCTCTGCTAGATCTTTTGATGCTCAAGTCTTCCAAGCATGAACTCCTCAGTTGCACAGGCTGCCAAGGGAGCCACAGCTGCTGCCTTTTTAGCTTGTGTTATACAAAAGACATTTTATTTTATCTTTTTAAAAATTCCCTTGCAAATGACTTTTGTAACATCCCCTAAAATCACACGCACGTGGCTTTACCCATCACCTATATCCAGATTTGCAGCCACACTCAGGGCCAGACCAGCAGGTGTGCTGTTGAAAGCAGCTGGCTAGGAGTCAGCTCTACAGCATCCCAAATCAGCAACAGTCCCAGAGGATCGGTGTTCCCTTTGTTCCCACCCAGAGTCACAACATACCATGGAATGTTCTGGTCAGGGGCTTACTCCTGGAAGTTCAGCTGTGAACCCCAACTATGCCACTGACTTTGGTCTTCAGGTGAGTCACTAAACCTCTCTGTGACTCAGTCTCTTCATCTATAAAATGGAGAATTATAGTCCCTACCTACTGAGGCTGTTGTAAGAATTACCTTAAATTGCAAAACAGGTAGACCCTTAGAACAGTGCCAGGCACAAAGGCTGTGCAGAGAGGACAGGAGCTGTGATTAACTATGAAGTGACCGGTTGATGAGGACCTGTGTGAACCTCACCCTCTGAGCCCCTTACCATTTATAGGAGAAACTTAAGTCAGAGAAAGCAGCCAACATGCACTGGCACAAACAAAACAAACTCTTTCATTACCAGTTTCAGCCTCTGTGAAGTCTAGAACTTTGCCCAAACTCAAAGATCAAAATAAAAAATATTCCAAAGTATTACTGATTGAGCAATCAATAAATGGACCACGGGAATCGGTTTTATCCTGGAAAGCTCCTCCTTGGTTTGGTCGAAGCCGGCGTTGCAAGTCGCGGACACCCCTTGGAGTCGGCGCCCTGGGGCCTAAGGTCCTCCAGGATTCCCCACTCCCAGCGATGGAAGCAGTCGAGCGCCCACTGGCGTGGCCTCGCCCTTGGCGAACTGGAGAACGCTGGCTGCAAATCACCTCTTTCCTGGTTTTTCCTTTTGAACTCCTTGGATGAGGGCATGAGTCAGGGGGTAAAGGGGATGACTAAGGAAAAGACAGAAAAGTTCCCGCAAAGAGGGACTTGGCCGCGTCTTCTAAGTGGTTGAGGGTGGGGACCCCGCGGAGACCCGAAAGCCAAGGACCGTGGGGGGAACGGAATCCCGAGAGTTGGCGCTGGAAAACAGACCGAGGCTGGGCGAAGACGGAGCGGGGGCCCAAGTCAGGGGAAACGGGACGGGCACTGTCAGAGGCGGCGAAGGGGCTAAAATGCTTGCAGGAGAGGAAGGGGCAGATGTGCTTCCAGCTCAGCCTCTGCAAGTCCCTCGAGCCCCACATGGGTACACTGAGGCCCACGGCGGCGCGGGGCCTGCGGGAACTTGGGCCGGAGAACAAAGCGCGACCCGGGCCGGGGGGCTCACCTTGTTGCAGAAGACCTCGGGCTGCTGGTTGGGGGCAGGCACGGCCTGGGTGGCGGCGGCTGACAAGAAGCGGAGGCCCAGGCGGGGCCCGAAGCGGGCGGCAGCACGCAACATGGCAGCAGGATACTGGGCTGCGAGCGGACGGAGGGCAGAGCTAGGGGCTCAGGGCCACAGAGCCGACC